TTTTCCAGGCGGTGGGAACTTCACCAGACTGCCACGACTTCTCAAATACGATGCACAGTGGTTTGGCAACTTCATCCGCCCGTTCCTTCAGGACCCGCGGATGGATCTCATTGGGTCCCATGGACTTGTGCACTTTCAGGTGCCTTAGATGGCCTTGAACCTGATCTTCTCCCACAGTGGGCGGCTCTTCATTCTCCCAATCCCCGCCTTTGCCTTCTGCAGCTTGGGCAGTGAGGCTCGAGCACTTGCCGGTGAAGACCCAGGCAAAAAAGTCATTGAGTACCTCAGCCTTCTCCGTGTCCCGGGTAACCAGGTCTCCCGTTTCATTCCGGAGATTGCCCACATTTTCCCTTGTCTTCCTTTTATCCCTGACCTACCCATGGAATCTTTTCTTGTTGCCCTGGACGTCCCTGGCCAGATTTAAGTCTATCAGGATCTGCACCAACTGTGCTGTTGGGAGCACAGACACCGTCTTACCAGGGATTTGCACACAGCGTGCTCTGGAGAAAGGACACTGTCCCTGGCCAGATTTAAGTCTATCAGGATCTGCACCAACTGTGCTGTTGGGAGCACAGACACCGTCTTACCAGGGATTTGCACACAGCGTGCTCTGGAGAAAGGACACTGCTCCCCCGGAGAGACCTGCGTAGCACCGCGTGAGCTTCACTTTCCCCTTCCTGGTCGTTCTCAGAAACTCGCAGGCTACATCAGAGCTGACGGGGTAGTTGGCACTCAACCTGCCCCGAAAGAAGAGAATTGATCAGCATGAAAGGCATCACTCAAGATACTCCTTCTCCTAGGACTTTGCACCCAGCAGTGAGAGGAGGGTCGTGATGATGCACAGAAACATCATATGGGAAAACAAAACCCGAAAGGCCAATGTTCTTCTGTGGGTTTCCTGACTTTGGCTGTTTTCCACCTGGCGTAATTTGAATTTTCTTGTTAAAGTTGGGGCTTTTCAGACAAGGCTGAGTGAGAAACACCAGCAGCTGCTGTGTTGTAAAACAGCCTTACTCTACTTGGAGACATCGCTGGGACTGGGCGTCCTTGCATGGTGCAGCCAGCTCCGTACTCTCCATCACACAGACTTCTGCGGCATTGCCAAGGAGAGGCGGCACAACTGAGGTTAACTCTCTGAATCAATGCATCTCCCCTGGTCGATGACTATGAAATTGCACTTTTAAAGCTGCTCATAGGGTAAGGAAAGACAGACTGACTTACATGATGAAGGCTGTGATTCCGATGGACCATATATCAGTCTGCGGGAGGGCTCCTTGCTCTGTCAGCAGTTCTGGAGCTAGAAAAGCAAACTGGTGTGAGCCAAGCCCCCCTCCAATGCAGAGACCAGCACAAAAACAGTGGGTACTTTCATGCTTTGCAACCTTCCCAAGAGTGAAGAAGAAAAAGCTCCTAGTACAGGGAGCTGATTGAGGTAAGACACCCTCGTGGGTGATGACTGCAATGACACCTTGAGAACATCAGGCCAAATGGCAGTAATACTATACCCCTGAGCTTTGGACACATGGATGCCAGCCAGAGCGATGTTGGCCGTGACCTCTGGCTTTGTCCTCTGTGATCTGCAGGTGGCACGGCTGTCACCACTAGCTCCTGCAAACTCACACTGTTGCTGGAGGGCAGCACCTGGGAGAATTTGCTTGCTGGGGCCAACTGCTGCCTTGACCAATGGCTCTGTCTGTCTGTCACAGACTGCATACAAGGCCAAGGTTGCTGTGACTGAACTCTGTACTCACCCATGGTTTCAACATAGTCCGTGCACTTGTCCATGGTAATAACTTTGTCTTGCGTGTAGAACTGTGCATTGCCAAAATCCAGGAGTTTCAGCAGGTTGGGCTCGGTGATGATCATGTTTTCAGATCTGAGATCCAAGTGCAGGATGCTGTGTGTGTGGAGATAGTCAATGGCACTGAGGATCTGCCACAGGTAATCTCGGACCTCCACTTCTGAGTACGATGTCCTGGTAGAAGAAAGGGGATAGAAACCAGAGATGTCCTATCTACATGCCCAAGGGCACCATTCTACACCCACTATCATCCTCCCCTGGATGTCTAATCCCATGAGGCCCTTGCGAGTCGAGAAGAAACAACTCTACTCATTTAGCAAATCTATTGTATATGGAGAGGCTGGTCCAGACTGTGAGTCAGGTTGACAGATGCAAGAGGTTCAGGAGGTTGTAGAGCTGCACGTCAGAGAAAGCAGTGGTTGTGCAGAAATCAAAATGCAGATTTAACGCCCACCATTCCCTCTCCTTTAGTCAGCGGATTTCAGCAGATCCATTTTCTGCCATTGTGAGAAACAAGGTGGAGAAGAAATGAGGCCTCCTGAACCACAGTAATCTCCTTGTTATGGGAGAGGGGTTTTCATATCAACTACTGTGAACTGCTTTCAACATCTCAGCTGGGTGGCCCTGAATTGTCCCTACCCCAACCTTGTAGGGAAGCTAAGTAATTTTTTTATGTCACAAGAAGTTGCAGAACAAATGCGTTACAAATCCCGTGTGCGACGACAGCACACTGGAACAGATGGAGAGAGATGATCCAGTTTGTCGGGGGGAAAGCAATAGGTGTTTGGATCCCTACACCAGCCCTGACTGGAAAACCCTTCCCTCCACTTGTTATTACCGTAATGCCAAAGAGTGGAGTAGCTCTGGTCCCACGCACATCTCCTGGATCAACACTAAGTGCCGTGGGCTGACGTAGGCTCCCTTCAGCTGAGCTATGTTTGTGTGGTGAAGCTTCCTCAGGACTTGGTACTCGAGGAGCACAGTCTGCTTGTCCTCTTGCCAGTAAGGGATAATTTTAGCAGCTAAAGTCTTGCCGCTTACTTTTTCCCTGCACTGTCGGACGATGCTGAAACGCCCCCTGGTACAAAGGAACACAAAGGCAAGTTAAGCTTCTCTGCTACTCCTGGAAGAGCCAGGACCTTCTGTTCTCTAAAACCGTCGGGATCCCATGCTGTGTTTTTCATCCATGCCCCATGTTGAGTTATTGCATCTATTGTCACAGTTTGCACATCCTCCTGTGTCTCTAAATTGTACAGTCACTTTAAATTGCAGGAGTGAGAGCTTAACTCCTTTGGAGAGAGAGAGAAGGTGGCTCATCATGTCTTGAGCAAGATAACTAACTCCTGCAGGCAGCTGCCTCTTTCTGTTGGCAACAGAGCTTGGTGCCTAGCTTCTAGGCAGAGAACGTTGAATCCCAACCCCGTGTCTGAAACTGGTAGCTGCAAAGGTTGATGCAGCAAGGAGAGGAGCCTTCGTTAGCCCTGGGCTCACTTCACAATAGACTGAGGGGCTGTCCTGGTGCCCGGCACAGACCCTTTTGCTCTCCCAGAAAATCCACACCTGAATCCTACCAAACCAAGATGGAGATCACTCAGCCAATGATCTCAGGTTTATATGTATTGCTGTGGAGGTGTTTTCAACAAAACGCCGTGACACTAGGTGAGCAGTGCATTTATAAAAGTGACTTTTCTAAATTCCAGCCACATGCGGCATTGCCCTCTGGCTGGTTGAGTGCTCAGTTGGTTTCATTACCTTTTGATCTCCGTTTGGAAGGCGTAGGTCTGGTAGGTTGGGAAAGGCTCGGATGGTGCGATTATTTCGCTCTCTTCTTCCGTAGCAGCTGATGGGAAGTTCTGCATTGCAGCACGAAGCTCTGCAGAGAGAAAGTGAGAGGGATTACATGGGAAAACACCTCTGCCTGGAAACTGGAGCCTCTCTGAGCCACCCTCCGCTATCTAAGAACGATGATAAAGGAGACACCAGAGCTTTCTCCAGACAAGTCTGCAGGTTGTCTCCCAGCCGTGGCACCCAATGCTATTTGAATGCAACAGATTCTGGACTGTCCACCCAGTAATTCCCCAGTGTGACCACTGCAGACTATGAGGTGGATTGTATGTTGTGTCCTATGATATCAAACGTCTCAGCCACCGGTTCTCATCTTCTCACATAACAAGTCATCAGGGCACGGTAAGACACTGACAAAGAATTAGAAACTTCTTTTAGTTGGATATTTCGGGGCAGCAGCTGAAACTTGTTGCTCTGGTTCTGGCATGTGGTTGTGTCCCAGCGCTCCCTGAAATATTAAAGCATCCCTTGACACATTAAAACATCTGCTTGGAAGTGCGGGGCACATTGAGATACGTTAATGAATCCTGGGCCAAGGGAAAGCAGAGGATTTAGGGTGAATTAAAAATATCTCTGTGAACTGATTTTTACAGAATGATCCTCTCCACTGGGAGGAAATTCCAGTTAGACCATCCTTCCACTTCTTGGCAGAAAGGATACTTCCTTTGCTACAAGGACGTGTTTGCCGTGGGGTTATGGATTTCTTAATTTTAAAAACATGTGAATAGTACAAAGTATTCAAACAGGTGAAAAAAAATAGTAAATCGAGCTTTCTTTACTTCAGAGACAAAATACAGCTGAAAAATGCACTACAGTAGGGCAATAATTCCCAGTAGCAAACACCAGAACACATAAATTAACTACTGAACTTAGGACGGAGTCCATAACGAAGAGCAGGTCCAGGGCTTTCACCAGTGGCAGATCTATACCAATAGATCAATGCCTCCAGTAACGCATTCACTGTCCCAGACCTGTTTCCTTATGATCTCACGTCAAAAACTGAGTGTGTCTTCAGCGGGTAATCTACAGTTTCCAGATTTTTATTTTATTATATTTTTATATATGTTTACATATTATTTATATTTACATAGTGTTATTATTTTATTATTTATTTGTTATATATTTACACACATTCCCCTAACCGTGTCCAGAATTAGAAAATAATTTACTTTTAAATAAGAAAGCCAAAGAGGAGGCTGAGCCAAGTGGAATTGGTCTTGATTCACTTGCTCTTGACTTCTGGACCCGCATCCAAAAGGGTGCAATCGTTCTGATGCAGGAAAAACACAATGCTTTCTGGGCATTTGATCTTACCTATTTGATCCTTCCCAGTGATTTCCACTTTGGCAGACGGGTCGCTGTAAGGGCCCATTCCGGCTTTACTGGTGCAGGCTATCCTGAAGCAGTAGATAAACCCCTTGGAGAGATTTCTGGCATAGTAGCAGCAGTCAGCGATGTCAGAAGCAAGAGTCACCCACTCCCCATCTTAACCAAGGAAAGACAGAAAAGAGATTAGGACTCATTTAAGATGGTCACACCGGGGTGTTTTTTGAGTTTTGGGGTTTTGTTGTTGTTTTTTTTTTTTTTCCCATCAACTTTACTTATGTGCTGGGAATATGGGGAAACAGTGGAATCTCGTAGAGTGACGGAAAAACTGACTTGCTATGGCCAACTTTTGTGCGTGGTGCTGCTCGCTGTACATGTGCCAAAGCTGCCCCTCTACTCTGCTCTGGGGAGACCCCCCCTGCAGTGCTGCGTCCAGCTCTGGAGCCCTCAGCATAAGAAAGACACGGACCTGTTGGAGCGGGTCCAGAAGAGGGCCACAAAAGTGATCAGGGGGATGGAACACCTCTGCTGTGAAGAAAGGCTGAGAGAGTTGGGGTTGTTCAGCCTAGAGAAGAGAAGGCTTTGGGGAGACCTTATCACAGCCTGTCAGTACTTCAAGGGGGCTTAGAAAAAAGATGGGGGCAAACTTTTTGGCAGGGCTTGTTGTGACAGGACAAGGGGGAATGGCTTTAAACTAAAGGGGGGGAGATTGAGACCAGATATAAGGAAGAAATTTTTTACGCTGAGGGTGGTGAAACACCGGCCCAGGTTGCCCAGAGAGGTGGTGGCTGCCCCATCCCTGGAAACATTCCAGGTCAGGTTGGACGGGGCTCTGAGCAACCTGATGTAGTTGAAGATGTCCCTGCCCATGGCAGGGGGGTTGGCCTAGATGACCTTTAGAGGTCCCTTCCAACCCAAACTATTCTCTGATTATATCATTCTATGATCTTTCTGAAATCAGCTGTTTGATATCTAATCAGTCCAAGATGTGGCAATATTGTTTGAGAGGAATGGTGAAACTTTCCTGTATAGTTTCTGTTTATCTAATTCATGCCACCAATCTCTAATGCAAATATACATCAAGAACTCCAAACAAAAGCCTAACAAAATCACCATTTTTTTCCCTTTGGCCCAGTCTTGAATTCAGTTGAAACCATGAGGTGCAGGATTTCAGGAGAGAGCTATCCACTAACACCCTCCTAGCAAACCCAGTGTTTGAAACTTGGGCAGGTTTACTCAGCTTTTATGAAACTCGGACGATTTTTCAGGGAACTGAAATTGTAGGTGTGTTCTGGACTCATTATTCATGGGGTGTGAAGTAGAAAATCACCAGCAAACATTTAATGATCATTCATTTCACATGATGCTGTGTCCCATACTTTGCCATTACTGCTGTGCTCAAGGCTGAACTCAACTCCCTGAGATTGCCTGAGATTAAACCCATCCTTTCATTCAAATAAACACTGGTAGAGACCCTCAAACCATAGGACAAGCAATAATTCGCCATCGAAAACACAGGTATCAATGACTTTGCAGGGTACTTGTTGAATTGGGGGGGGAGGGGGAAGCAGCTGTGTAAGAAGGAGCAGATACAGCTTAGAAACAGAGGAAAGTGTCTGGAGAAGCAGCATGCAAAAGCCTACTCTCAAATAATGGATTAAACAAGGAATTTTTTTTTCAGATTATCTTAATCCTCCTGTGTTCAGGAAAGCAGGACCTTGCACGTTCCTGCCAAATACACAGAATGCAATGGAAGATTGTAGATGCCGTTTCCTGTTTTTCTTCCTAGTTGGAAAAACTTGCTTTTGTATCCTCCCCAAAGTCTTGCCTACAGTTGTGTCGAAAGGGATAACAATAAAGCAAGCTGCATTGGAGGAAAAGTGACTGACACCAGCTCCAGAGTGAAAAGGTAGAAAGCTGCTGCCCATGCTCATGCGAATCCAGAAAGGAGTGCATGTATGTTTGGAGAACTAGAAGAAGGAACATGGAGCAGTCGAATCCAAAGGGCTGCCTGTGTATGTGTGACTGCAGTAGAAATTACTATCAGACATAGCATTCATAATAATTACAGCAAAAGCAGTCCCAAGAGAGGTGGAACAGGCTCGGGGATTTGATTCAAAGTTCGTGGAATTAAACAAGAAAACATCCACTGGATGTTTTCCCCATCAGGCTCTGGACCAAGCCTTGGAAGAAAACATCAAAGGGATGATGCAGTTTTGCCAAACTTTTGTCATCTTGTCCTGGCTGTTTGCCCTAAGCTTCCTGCATAACCAATGGAAAAAGAAAGCATGGCTGTTCAGCATAGGATGAATTGCCTTTTCGATAGACCATCTTTCTCCACAGACTGTACAGAAAGCCTCGGCATAGGATGATATTGTCTGCTAGTCGTTGCTGCTGGGCGTTGTTAGTGTACGAAGCTGTCAGAGCCGTAACTTGAGAGGATTACTCAGGACGGTGTATCGGCCGTGCATGTTCTTCTGTGGCTGTTCACTTTTTGGTCACAGCTTCCATGCGACCTAGTTTGAATCACTCTTCAGCAAAGCCTTTGTATGAGTACGCATATCCCAGGCTGGTGTAGCCAGCACAACATCTAACTTTTAGATGGCTAAGTGATGGCTGTATGAATTTCATTCCTAACTCTAAACTAGGGAGCTAAAATCAGGCTGTTTCTGAATAAAAATAAAATATCCAGCTGGTGAAGAGATCATACGAATCGAGATGTTCCTTGCAAGGCGTAAGGGCAGCACTCCACTTTACCTTCGCTCTTACACTGGACGGTGTAATGGACGGGGGTGTTGGTTTCCACAGGTTTCCAGGCCACCTGCACTCCATCCTCGTAGACCTCCACGATGTCAGGGGGTGGAGGGCTGGGAGGAACCTCTGTCGAGAGGAGGCACAAAACCCAGTGACCGTTAGCAATAGCACTGCTGTGATACACACCTCTGCACCCGGCACTTCTCAGTTACAGATATTCTTTATATATATATATAAATGTATACTTTTTTTTAATATACACACACACACACACCCCCCCCAGTGGAACAGCAATTTAACCGTGCCTAATTAAAACTCAGTATTAAGATTTTGAAGTCCTGTTCTAGAACCACACGGTTACTGGAGCGGCTCTGAATCCAGGAGAGAGACTAAAGAGCGAAGAAGGGGGAATGAACCCTGCAAAACGTGCCATGCTACCAGACAGCAAGGGCTGTGGCTGTGGACTAGAGCAAGCAAGGGAGAGATTGTCCTCTGAACCTATCTGCAGAAATCTCACCTCACGGGTATTTACAGGTCACATTTTGGGGCAGAAGTAATACCGACTTCTGTAGCTACTTCTTCTTTTACCTGCTTTTCTTATGATGCAAGAGGTGGATGCTGAGCCCAGGGAGTTTGTGGCCACACAGGTGTAAATACCAAAATCATCAGCACCAACAGAGAGAATAGTTAACAGCTGGAAGTTTTTGAGCGTGGCTGAGATGAGGATCCGGCTGCTGCTGTGGACAGGTATCCCATCTGCAAAGCAGAAGATAGGAGAGACAATTACCCTGCAAATTTATATCAAGGTGCCTAAACCCCTCCCTGCACCCCTGTCCCAGAGGTTAGGGACTCCCTCGAGGGATGTCAGTTCACCTCTGAACCAGTCGATGTGCAGGGAAGAGTGAGCCGCTGTCCGGCACGACAGCGTCACGCACTGTCCGACGGCAGCAGCCTGATCGATGAGCTCCTCAACGAATGAAGGTGCTGCAAAGAAGAGGAAAAGCAGTGATTCAGAATGGCCAGGAGGGCTATGTGGAACATAAGTGCACGCAGGACATCAGAAAGCATTTTTAATTGGTTCAAGAACATTTCTGGTTCATGCTCTGGCATGCCTTTGACCACCGGTTGGAGAATCCCCTGGGCGTTGGGCACACAGGTGCAGGAGCCCCGTTCAGCCCCATGGACGCAGTGTCACTGCTCATACATGATAATCCAGATGGATCTTGGAAGGTCCATGGGGGGAACATCTGCATTGCCCAGCCCTGCTGGTACAGCTAAGGCAGCAGAAGAGCTTGCAGGAGAGGGAGCGCATGTCACAGCAAGAGTTTTCTTCTGGCCTAGCTTAAATGTGGGGGTGAAACTAAATGATGGTATTTCAAGGGTGAGGGGATCAGATCAAGACAACACAAGAAGAGAGAAGAAGAGATAAAAGATGGATATGGAAGGAGGAAAAAACCCACAGAGCATCAAATTTGCTGCTGTCTCCATGGGAAAGGGGGAGCTCAGGTTTTCTTCCGTGTTTCTCCAGGATTTTTTCTCCGCAGTGCCCAGGAGCTGCCAGCCTCACACGCCTGCCCTTCCCAGTGCTTGGCTGGGCTCTGCTGAATGCTGGGGCATTAACCTGACCTCAGAAAATGCTCCTGCTAGAGTCAAGGGGAAACTTGCCCGGGCAAAAGCAAGTTCAGCTTTGCTGACACGCCGTTTGGGGCTGCCCCACCGTTTTTCATTTCATAGCTCTATAGCAGCGCGTCTGGCCCTTACACATGCAGGCAGGACTGGGGCGAAGGAATTCGCAATTTCCTGCTTCTGCCATCCCACCCTTGGATGCTCCATTTATTCTCTTTCTAGCTTACACATAGATTTTATTCCTTTGCAGTGGCTTCCTAGAATGGATCCAGTTTGCAAGCAATGCCAAGACAAGACGGTTTTAGCAAGGACATAGTTACGATGTAAGCAGAGGAGGCTGGCTCATATTGCATGAGTTGGTCCAGGTCATCTCAAGACAACCATTGCAGATCCATCCTTAGAAACTGGCCTTACACAGCACTGTAATATTCATTAATGACAGTTCATGATAAAACTAAGTGATGACTTATGCAGAAGCAATACCTTTCTCCTTTGGCATGAGGCTTGAGAACTTGAATGAAGAGAGTGCCGATTTCCTCTTCAGAGATCCTTCAGCCCCTGTTAACAGCTCTTTTTCTACTGCCTCACTTCCCAGCTCACCAAACTCTGTTTTGAGAAAGGATGAGAAGTCATTCAAGGCCATCGTTCTCCCTGTGGCATCCCGTTTACAGCAGACAGTTCTGCCGTTCGCACATAAATAGCTCAGCAGTCACAGGTTTCCTTATTAGCGAGCCTTCAGTCAACAGGGAAGGCTGGGACAGCTATTACAAACAGAATGATGTCCTGGAGGAAGAGGGCGTATCCAGGGATGGCAGAGAAGAAAGCACAGATTCTGTTGTGCAGTGTCATCAACTTAAGTAGCCAGGGAGACTCCACCAACGTCTCCCAGTCACTTTAGCTTTAAAGATTTACCGTGGTCAGATGATAACGGCAGAAGAAACCGCAGCAAGGAAAGCATTGTCCAGCCCTGGCCTGCTTTTGTGCAAACTCAGACAGGGGAATTTGAACCACTTCCACCAGCAGATTAACCCAGCTGACTCTGCACTGAAATGAGCCAGTAACAGAGAGCTAGTGGTGGGGCTGAAGACCGCTAATTTCATAACCTGCCACTGCCTGTTTTGCAATGACTGTCTAACCACAGCCTCAGATATGCCAGGGGAAAAAGGAAAAGGCAGATTTAGCAGAGCCCAGTTATAGCAGCAAATCTGTGAAGGCACAGAGTAAAATATTTACCTTCCTCTGCCTCTGGCTCAGGAGATGTCTTTCCTTTTAGGATTCTTGAAATATGGGCAACAGAAGCTTTTACTTTCTTCTTCAGACTCTGCTCCACTGACTGCTCCACTGAATGAGACCTTGCATATGGCTTAAAGAGTCCTGGCTTGTTGTAGAAGGAGCTTTTCTGCTTACCACTTGAGTCCTTTTGGGGGCCATACATTCCTTTATGACTCTCTGACCCTTTCCCCATGGCTAATAAGTTAGTTGCCTTTGAATCCTCAGATATTTCCAAATGGTTCTTCCTGTTCTTGTCCTCTGCCTCTTCTCTGATGCACAGTCTTTTATCCTTGTGCAAATGTCCTGCAGGAGGTGACCTTGCCCTTTCGCCAAAGGGTATAAACCGTCTACCGGTTGGTTTGGGTGGAGGCTTCCTATAGTTCATAAATTCAAATGGAAAATAGACAATGTCATACAAATCAGAGAAATTCAAGTAGGCAGGCTCTACCTCTGATATGTCAAGTTTTGGAGTTCCACTGCCAAGACTGGGTGTTTCGTCTGACAGGTCTTTGATTTTCACTAAAGAAACTTCTGGGTGTTTACCAGTGTCCTTGCTCACTGACACTTGACTGGGTCTTTTTCCAGTGTCCAAGGTATCTGTTGAGGAAACGCTCACTTGGCTAGGAGCGCAGATCTCAAATGCTAAGTCCTCCAGATGCTCACATTCATGAGGAACCGTCTGTGCTCCCTTCCCTTCCAGTACCACTGACTCCTCACTCACAACAAGATAGGGTTCTGCAAGGTCATCCAGCTCAGAGACTTCTCCTCTTTTACCCCTTTGTACAGAAGGGAAGGAGGTGTCCTTGGGTGCTTGGTTACCTGGGCCTTTGTAGACCATCTCTGTGGGAGGAGAGATGTGCTTTCTGCGTTCCTCCTCACTGGAAACTGACTCTGCCCAAACATTCATCTCTTCAGAGAGGGAAACCATCTCATCCACTAAGCCCTCCAGCAGAGCAGACTCCTCATCACTGTAGAAAGAAGACCTGTGATGTGAGAGCTCCTGACTTTGATCCCTGTGGAGCAACGGTGGGACAGTTTTTCCAGTATCACAGCTTCCACTTTCTAAGGCAACGCCTCTACTCTCACCATAAACCTTTCGATGTTCCTCATATTCTCGCTCATAGACTGTAGCTGGAGCAACTTCTGGTTGTGAAGCAGTTAAGGCACCTGGAGGCCCATGCTCCAGATCAGCAGAAACTCTGCCACTGGGATAGGCAGCCCTGTGCTGCTCAAGCACCTGATGTCCAGCCTTGGGGAAAGGAGCAGGCATAGTCTGTCCTGTTGCTTGGCTTCCACTTACTGTCACAACAGATCTCACCTCACTGTGAAGTGATGCCTTTGGATGTTCTTGCTTCTTACTCTCACAGACCGATGGGAGGCCAGTATTTTGGGAGGACACAGTTCTAGCTGGGTGTCTGCTCTCCAGAACAGCAGGCACCGTGCCACTGCCTTCAGAAACCTTCTGGGGTTCAGCTCCCTCGATTTCAGCTTCGTGGGCCAAACTGGGAACAATCTCTGTGACAGCTGAGCTTTCACTCCTCAGAGCAGCAAGCCTCTCCTTGCTATGAGCTGGCCGTTCCCTTTCAGCCTGCCGTGCTCCATCGGAGGCTGAAGTAGGCATTGATTTTGGTGGTGGGACTTTTGGAACAACGAGATGGTCTCCCTTCCGGATGGCAGATGCTGTGTTGACGTGAACAGGAGCCCTCTTGCGCGCTTGGCTTTCACCATCATGAGTTGATGGTGGAGTGATTCCTGTAATACCCAGTCCTTCATCCTCCAGGACAGCAGATCTCACCTCTTTATAGGTCTTCAGCTTCTGATGAGCACCTTCATCAGCTGTGTGCAGAGCAGTTAGGGTACCTGGCTGTTTGCCCACCAAGACAGTAGTTGCTGGAACACTTTGTCCAGGAAGTTCCTGACTTTTGTCTTTACATACTGGAAGTGAATCGATTTCTGTTTGTGGGCCTGTTAAAACAGCAGAGCTTTCACGCTCCATGAAATCAGGTTCGGCAACACCATGAGCAGAAGTCTTCTCATGTGAATGTCTCTGCCTTTTGTCTTTCCAAGGTGGAACTGGGGCTGTCCTTTTGATAAGCAAGCTTCCACCTTTTAGATCCGGATGGATGTCAGTACTGTGAGCAGACTCCTGGGGCAGACACATGCCCCCTTTACTTGTAGGGGCTGACTTGGAGGTGGTCTCTGACTGGGAGAGAGTTGAAATGGACTGTTTGCCCTCCTGAAAAGCAGTGTCAGAGGCACTGCCAGGGGAAGATTTACCCTCCATGCTTTCATGTTTTTGAGCTGTTGATGCGGTTACATCTGGGCACTGGGCAGTTAGAATGGGGCTTTTGCCTTCCAAATCCTCAGCTTCCTCCTCAATGTAAGTGGCTTTTGACTTCTTCAGTAAACGTTTCCCATGCTCGCTCCCATGAGGTGACGCTGGAAGTCTCTCTAGCTGTTGCACAAAAACAGCCGGGCACCCATTACCCTCACATTGTGTGGAAGGAGGGGGCTGCTCTTCTGAACAATCCTTGCTGGCTCTCCTAAAGTCCTCTTGCTTTGAAGTGTCTACAGAACATCCCTTGCCAGGCCCCGCAGAAATGTCGCAGTGGTCACTGCCTTCAGGGCAACTTTCCTGTGACAATATATCACAGTCTTCTTCCAAAATATCTTGTTCCCTCACTGATCTTGAGGCTCTCAGCCTGTAGTCATCCAGGGAACGGCTTCGACTAGCACCAGCAATGGCAGGATGTGGTGGTTTCCTTGCAGTGTCAAACGAAGCTGATTTGGTCAATGAACCAAGCAGACTCTCCCTGTGATCATCTCCATCATCAGACTTGCTTTCTTCTTCTTCTTCCAGTTCAAACTGCTCTAGAAGGGGTTCACGGAGACCGCTGAGGGGCACCTTTGAATATCCAGCTTTCCGGAAAGTCCTTCTGGCTCTGTCCAGGTGCCTTCTGAACTCCCTGCCTGGTGAGGAAGGCCCCCTTGCGGGTAGCTCAGCTGCCTGGCTGTAGAAAGTGCTTTTAATGACACTCTGTCTAGGAACACAGACAGGTGGCTTTTCTGTCCCATCCCCAGCCTTTTCAATTCTGTCCTTATCAGATGAAAATATGTCTGTTTTTTCTTTCTGACATAGATGCGATGTGCTTTCTGTGGAAGTCCTCACTGATGAAGGCTCAGCAGCACCGCTTCTTTGGGACTGCTCTGCTTTTTCAGCTTGAAGTCTGGGAGGGAGCCCCTCCTCTTTCTCCTTTAAGATACTTGCCATGAGCTCTTTGCTTTCTGTAGGTGATTTGTCCCCCACCTCAGTTTTCATTGAAGCATACTTCCTTCTCATGGGTTTTACCGGAGGGATTGAGGTTTTGGAGTGCTTCTCTTCACTTGCATGTTTTGGAGGCTCCTGATGGCTTGGTGCATCAAATATGGACAAGTGCAGTTCGGGCGTAGAGCCAAAGTGCCCCTTCTTGGGGAAATGCGAGTTCTCATTGTCTGAAGAAGAGCCGCTGGTACTGGATGAAGTGCTTTCTTCAATAAGATGTCGGGAGATGGCCAGGGAGGTGTTGTCGTGAGTCCTTTCTAGGATTTCTGGGATAGATCGCATTACCAGTATGGATTTATAGCACATCAGAGACCGCTGAAAAGCAGAACAAAATACAGCACAATCAGATGGAAACATGGTGGGAGTATGGTAAAGCAAGCATACCAAACTGAACTTCTGCACTCTTAAATACCACACATACTAGTTTAATAACACATTGCCACCCTTTTGTACATATCGTCAATCCAGGCCTCATTTGCTCTCCAAGTCTTCCTCTTCTCTCATTCACAGAGGTGAAACTATATTGACTTCAGGGCACGTACTTGCTGTTGTGAACGGGGAAGCAGGACCCTGCCTGAGATTTTTCAAAGACAATCTGGCCGCTCAAAGCAGACGGAAAAGGAGTTTTTAACAGAACACATCAGATGAGAGCCTAGCTGGAGTAAATGGCCTTAAATCTGTTGACTGCAGTACAGCCTACAGTGACTTAGGCCAACAGAAGACCTACCATACTGTAGGAGGTAGGATTCATCTGCTCTAACTTCTGCCGTGTGAGACATCTCAGTTGAAGCTGAGCAGCTGGCCTCCCCTTACAGCCAACAGAGAGAAACAGGCATCTTCAGAAGGCAACAAATCTGAGTATTTTAGAGAACTTCAGGAAAAGAGGATCTTCTTGGGACCTGCCTGTAATTCAGTACCAATTGCAAAGGCAGCTGAGGGTACCTAACTTAGACACAACCATGCATCTTACAGGCACCTGCATTAGACCAGATGATTTCCAGGCAGTAAAAGCCTAGATAATTTATTTCTGCCACATCCATCGACCCCTCTCTCCTGGGCTTATTCCCCATTCATACCCAAGCTGAGATCTCTGCTGTGCTCACTGTCCTAGCCTGATAGACTTTAAAAGATGCAAATGTAATTAAAGATAAATATAACTAAAAAGAACCAACATAGATTAAGGCCAACTCACCTGCCACTTGCTCCGAGTCACAATGAATTTGAGCTGCTTGGTATTGATGAAATGAGCTGCTTCGAGGGGGAGATTATGCTGCCAGGTGGAATGAGAGGAAAATCATTGGTTAAAAAATCCTGACTTCATTTCCTGGGAAGTTTTTTTTTTAGGGTTCCCTCCTTCCAGAATTGTTTAATTTAGGAAAGTTACAATAGACCAAATGCTACAATCCCCTCATGGCTAAATTGTAGACAATCTCAGCTTTTCAATGATAAAAGCAAGCCCTGTTCAATGCATGTGATTAAATTCCTTCTTCTTGTTAATTTTTAGTTCTTCACCTTAGCAATTTAAGGCATTGGAATATAAACCATAACTTTGCTCTGCAAAGCCACAGTTTCCTTTCCATACAGACATGTTCTATCTGCTCATGTCGGTAGTTATCTTTTGAAAGGAAAGATATCTTGGCATGTAAACACTGATGTGCCTCCTCTTTCTGGAGAGCCATGCCTGAGCTTCTCTGTAGGACAGAAAGTAGGAGACCAAGAGAAAAAATAAACCAGCAAATAATATCAAGCAGCTTTAAAAGCTGCCCCTCCAAAGGTCTCTTCCAACCTCAATATTTTTAATGACTCTACTAAGGAACCAGGACAAACTTACCATGAACCACTTGTGGGAAAGACAATCCAAAGCACTAGGCCTGGCTCTGAAAAGAGAAAAGATCACCGTTCTATTAGCAAGTCACTTTCAACAGCAACCACAAGGTCTTCCTGAAGATGCCTGCTTCACGTGGAGACACGCATACACTTTTGTGTATGTCCTTAGGCTGCTGTTTTAGAGCTGAGAAGCCAAACAGACAGACAGAGGCTTTCAACCCAAGGTTTCCTTCCCTTGAGGTGAAACGATCCTCCTTTTTCAGTCCGAGACTCCCTGCAGATCCTCAGGAAGACCCCATGGCACTCTGCAGGGAGCCCGTTCAAGGGTGTCGAGAGCAGCCCTAAGAGTGACTTTGACTCTTTAGGTGGCCAGAGCAAAAATAGCTTTGGCAGCAGGCAGAAAGAAGAGAAATGAAATCAAAAAGCAAGTGCCTGCAAACTTGCCTTCAAGGTGCCATTTGTACTTGAAATTGCTTAATGAATGTGGTTAATATTATTTAATTCTCACATGACTCCCTCTATACCAGTCCTTGCTCTTCCCACTTCTCTACGTCATTTTAGAAACTCATCTGCCTGGAGAAGTCAGGGATTAAGGACATCACCATAACAGAAACAGGCCAATTTGGCAAATTGCTAAGTTGTGTTTTGGGTAATGGGGAATAATAAGAACTAGGGCATAACACACCACATCTCACTCAGCTTTCTACTTTTCCAAACCACCGCAGCTCTGATGAGCTGAGATCTGCCTGCTGAGACACCAACATCTTTGCACGCTGACTGTAGGAAACACAAAAGTGCACTCACTCAGGGTGCTGCTGTAGGATCCCTTTCATAAAGTCCTTTGCATCTTCACTCAAGTGAACAAAATCAGGAGTGGTCCATGAAATTTCCCCGTTCTGGATATTTAGAAGCGTTCCTCTGTCGTTCTCCCCAGCAAATGGAGACTTGCACGTTAGGCTTATTTATTGAACACCATAAAATAAAAGGAGACAGACTTTAGACTTCTATTTGCTGTTTAAATGACAGGAGCACAAATGCTTACGTGGGGCTTTAAAATGCTTGAGGGACTCCACGCGTGGGACTTGCAATGCTTGTGAGCAGTGCATCCACTAACAGGGCATCTTTCACCCCAGCATTACATGGCACTTAACTGAATTATTTATCCCAGTGTCACAGACAAGGAATTAAGGGTTTGATTTTGCACAGCTGCAGTAGGGTGTTGGCTAAAACAGGCAAGGGGAAGACTGAACCTCATCCACCGCTCTCATCGCTAACTGCAAGGAGAGCAGCTGGCAGGTCTTCAAGCAGGGACAGTGACCAAAGCCCTGGGCAACCAGGAAAGAATGAGTAAAAGAGAAAACCACAAAAGAAATTGCCCTCGTTATAGAAGGACTCAATGCTTCACTCAAATCTCTCACTTGAAGGTATTGAGGGCTCTGACTGACAAAGGGATATTGAATGAGTCTTTCCAAGAAGATTTATTTACCTTAAATACGTGATGACTCCAACAGCCCTGAGGAGAGAGGGAACACAAATGTCAGGTGTTCATCACTATTTCTCCATCCTTCTTAAGCACACAGCCCCTCTTCCTACCACTAGACACCCTGGCACAATAAGACCACCTTCTTCTCCTCACCTTTCCAAGGAAAATAAATCCCAAAAGCTATTGTTTTCTCCCTTCAATTTTTTTCCCTTCAACATTTTTAAAAATTGTTCTCAAGTAATCCTCCATTTTTAAAGCGAGATAGAGGAGAAGACTCAAAATACTTTTTTGGAGTTTGTTTGCCTTTTCTAGAAAGCCCCTTAGGATCATCCTCCCTAGTTGCTGCCTCTAATAAAGATCATCTTCTCTAAGATGCTCCTTTGCCGTAATTGGCTGTCAGAGTTCAATTATGGTTGAACAAAATAGAAGGATCTTTAAAGAGCCCTGACAGGTTTTGCATTCTCAGTGTTCACTTTCAGTTTCTTGTGTTATTTATCACTACTCCATTTAATTATTAACAATAAATGGAAATTCAGGCCATCTAGGGCAAAAGCTTTGTAGAAAGATGACAGGTTACCAGATATCGGTTGCTTTTGACACTGGTGACTGAGAAACAATTTCTGGGGCAACAAACTCCGGAGACCCGTATTTGCTGAACTGAGGCTCAAAGGGCGTGATCTTCTGAGCAAATCCAAAGTCACAGAGCTTAAGGTCTTCCCTTTCAGGATAAACCATGAGGATATTCAGCGGCTAGTAAATGAAATAAAATAAAAGGGAGAAACTTTTCTTGAAAGCAGGTGATATTTTCAGTTGTAAGTAAGAATAATTCGAATTGAGAACGCCCATTCCCTGACCAACAAGAGGCTATGGTAAGCTAGACCTGCCATTGCACGTTACCTTAATGTCCAAATGAAGGATGTTGTTGTCATGAAGATATTTGATTCCTTCCAAAATTTGCTTGATATACAATTTGACCTAAAAATTAAATCAATTATTAAAGAATTATTAAACTTTAATAGTAAATAAGAGGGTCTCTGATTCCACCAACATTTTTAATATATGAGAGAGGGAGAGATTGATCTAGAAATACTTTTAAATCTAGAATGAACTTCTTATATTAGTCTTGCAGTTGAAGTAAGGTGTGAACCAAACATTACCCCGTGGAATGAAGCTGTGCCTCGTGTCTGACCACACTGCTCTGCTGGAGCCTTCTATATGTGAAAAAGCCCTTACTTTAAAAATAAACAAACAAACAAACAAACAACCCTACAAACATACAAAAAAGAGATATAGAAATCCTCAGGTTTGATGAACCTTATCAACTGTCTAAATCAAACTCAGCTCTGGCTTGGTGTAAATCAGGCAAACACGTTTAAAACACAAATACATTTAAAAAATATGTTGTAAACCTATTTTCTTGACTGTATGTAGATGTAATCTGACTATGACTGAACAAGGAGTGAAGACTTACAGCTAGCTTCAGCTTTGGAAGTCCTCTATCTATCTTTGACATTTTATAGTGTTAGCTGACATTTGATCTTTAAAGGTCCTTTCCAACCCAAACCATTCTATGATTCTGTGATATTTCCCTCTGAGTATTTCTAAGAAAAATCAATTTTACCAATAAATATGGGACACCTGGCTACTAGATGGGAGATGTGAAACATTTTGAACTTTGAGCACCAAGGATCTCAAAAAACCCCCCTTAGAAACCATAATTTCAGCCCTCGGTTTGGGGACTGAAAGGGAGTGAAGTACAGTTGCGAGGGGATAAAGCGTTGTTGAGCAAGTGAGGATACAGGAGCTCCAGGTGACAGATAGCAAAGAAATGATGATAATAGAGCAAATATCATCTGTATTAGGTTGAATGCAATGCTGGTGGTCAAAACGACTGGCTGTTTCTAGTTATTCCCTGAAGAAACTCAACCTATCGATGAAAGCTGGTGGGAACACATTTTAAAGGCTGATTCTGTTTTGACAGATTATGACTGGTTCAAAGACATTCTTCATATTCAAAAAGGAAAATGCAGCTGGAAGGTACTGTAGTGGTACCCACCAACTCTGGTCTTTCAAATGAGAAAGAAAGATT